TCGAAGTTTACACCAGCATATATATATTAAGTTATGTTGGCGTACAATGCGACAGTGAATTTGGCCACGGGTATCAGCCCATACTATCATGTTACGTGCCGGCAGTATACGGGGCAGGTTGATAGAGTAATTCAGGCGAAGTTGTTAGAGGTGATAGGTTCTGAGCGTCCGAGTGAAGCTGCTGTGCGGGATAGATCGGTGGCCATTAGAGATGAAATAGCGACGGAGGCGCAGGCAAAGGCGGCAGACGAAAATAGAAAAGAGGCACCAGATTGGACACAGCCGGGGCAGTTGGTTTGGTATACTGGTAGGTCGAAGTATAGTAAGTTGGCAAAAACCTATGTAGTGAGAGGCACGATTGTAATGAGGGAACACTTACAAGGGATGTACGAGGTCAGAATTAATGGGAAGGTTAAGTCAATACATGTGGATCAGCTTAAGGTGAGGTTAGAGGATCCGAAGCATGAGGCCAATATTAGAATGCCTAGGAGGGAAGCTTGTTTGATCTGGCTCTACAATTATACTGGTGAAGGGGCAGTTAGTGTTACAGAACTTAATGAAATAGTGGCAGTAATGCGATCAACAAAGACGGGTAGGACTTGGTTATATGCCAAGAATTCAGCTTTTGGTATATATATTGATACGACAGTCGATGAGGTGAAGCGAGGTGAAAGTAAGGGCGTGGTAGAAGATACTTTGGATTTGGCTATGAAGCATCACTTCAATAAGAACAGGTGGAACAAGTTGCAGATGTTCTTCCAGGTTGCGAGTGATCCCATTTTTCGGAAGAAGCAGTTGAGTAAATTGTTGAATTGAATGAATGAACTCGACACTAATCTCTTGTTCATTGGGTTGGTGTAATGTCAACCATGTTTACTTCCGATTTAAAACAATGTTGGTGTCGTAAGTACCGAACTATTCGGTACTGTTCCTGGGTGTCAATAAGAGTGCGAGAACTTCTAAGAGTGGGCGATAACTTATAAGTGTGGAAACTAATAAGTTTGAAAAGTTCTAAATTGTATTGTGCGGTTTGTTGGCGAACGGCCGCGCAGGCTCGGAAGAAGAGGAGGTTGGTGTATGATTGGTGCTTTGCGAACCGAAGTGCGGGGTTATATGAGCTGGAGGTAGGCAGATGACGATATATATTGAATGGACTTGTAGGCTCGAAATTGAGTAGATACACGATTTGATTGGCGGCAGGATTCACAAGGAAATCCTTCGGAGATAGTATAAATATGTAGTTTCGTTCATTCAAGATGTTTATTCTGCTAAGGTAGACGTTTATTCAACTATTGCGGAAATAAAACTAGGTTCACCGTTACATTGTATTTTGAGTCGATCTAAGATTACAATATATTTTTGTCTACCTCAGCCGTACCGAACTATGGATATTTTCAAAGTCATTGAGGCCGTGAGCTTAGTGACTCAGACCCACCAAAAGAACGGCTCAGATATAAAATTGCTCGCCTGGCTACTTGTCGGATCAGATATTTCTAAAACGAAAAAAAGTCTCATTTAATAAAAAAATAGGGCAGGATTTATTTATTTTGATATAGCCCTCTATACAGGCTCTACATAATACATTTCGTTCTTTTTGTATAAATATATGTTTTGTATTTTTTAACACCACAGAACAGAACCCCATCTCGAAGTCGTAATAGTATTTAAAAAATACATAAAAAAAATGAGCAGATCTCTGGCACTGAATATTAATTAGGGCCAGCCTTTGTTGTAGTTTTATCATCACGTGGATATCGAGCCAGATTCGCCCTAATACCAGTAACCAGAGCCCCAGATGCCCAGGCTCACATATATATTTATTGGGGGGGGATTGCCGGGGTGGTGTTTTAAAATTAATATCTATTATTAGTGTTCTTGGCCCTTGGATCATTTGATTTTTAGAAGATTTTTTTAATACAAAATACAAACAAAACAAAGAAAGCAAATACAAAAAATGAAGCAGAATAGATAAATAGCAGATGATGTGATAAATATTCTAAATCAAGACAGATATTTGTTTTATAAAACAAAAAAGAACAAATACAGTTTCTTATATAAATGTATATTAAATATTATTAAAATAATAATAGAGGGCTATGAGCTTCAGTCTTCACAGTGATCACCTAAAATAGCATAAATATGTACTACAATGTAGCCCTCTAAATAGTACAAGAGGGCTATGAAAGTAGTTGAAGTACTTTATTATTTAAAAAAAATATGATAGTACTTCTCAGAAGTGTAAAGGAGCATTTCCGATATTGCGTTCTGATGGAAATGAACAGTGACAGCGTGACTGCGTGACACTGAGTCACTGACTAGACTAGTGACTACTACTAGTAGCTCTCGCTCTCACTAGAGGAGAGAGAGAGTATAAATAGTAGTAGAGTAGAGAGTGACTAGTTAGTAAATATGTAAATAGTTACTGACTAATCAGTATAAATCAAAGAGGAGTCCTCTAATTGCTATAAAATAAAAACAATAGGCGTGACAGTCACACTGTCGCAGCCTCACACAGGGGATGCGTATGTAGGAACACTGGCCTGGACTCTGGAACACAGGAACAGAGACTCTACTAGACTCTCTACTCGCTCTAGAGAGTAGTAGAGAGAGGCACAAAATTGAAAATACAATTAGTCAATTACTCAACAAAAGTGTTTGATTTCCGAATTTCTAAATATTAAAAGTTAAAACCTGCACTCTCAATCTCCTGAAATGGCTCGGAGTAGGCACTTTGGACTCCATTTCGAGTTTAGTTCTGTTTTTGAGTTTCGAATACTGAGTGACTGAGTAGGGCAATTTTATTTATAAATTCAAATTGGTCGTTCCGAACGGCTTGCGCTTTTATTCGCTGTTTTTTTATTTAAGAAGTGTTTTTATAAAAAAAAGGGGTATGTTTTGTTTCTTTTAAAAAACACACCCCAACTTTCAGGACACAGGGGGTCACAGCGTCACTGACTCACGGACTCACGTATTTTTTTTTAATGTTTTTGCTCACAACGATGCACGACCGCAAGGCGCAGGAGCAAGTCGATTTCAGATATATTTATATACTGCGCGATAATCATATTCATTTCTATCATATAACAGTTGCGATAACAATCGATTAGCTCTAATTATATGTATATATGTATATGGTGATGGTGCAATCAACATCCGTAGTGAGTTTTCTGGTAGCCTGTGCCCTGTTGAATACGAGTACAGCAGCACCTGTCCATGCACATATAAATGCTTCAAACGATTCGCCTTTAAGTATTGAGCGTAGAGCAGTATTAGACGGCAATGGAAATTATTATTCGCTACGTAATAGGTATCACCCAGAGTGTTTAAATGCCGATCTGAACATAAAGAAAGGTGTTCATACAGGGGAGTGCAATACCAGAGACACGCTATACGTGAGGTATATGGAGGACGATGAGACTATCCGTACACATCATGATTGGTGCTTAGGTATGGGTAAAACAGAGGAGCCAGATGGCACTGAATCCAAGAATATGGAGGTACAGGAGTGCAATGGTAGTGAGGCTCAAAAATGGATGGCCCCGAATTACGATGGACAGCGCCATCTGGAAAGTAAGTCCGAACATCTGTGCGCGGATGTCGAGCATCAGCACTGGAAAGCGGAAGTTATCCTCTGGAACTGTAAAAGCATTAATAGCTACAAATTCCTTAATCAACAATGGATCAGTTTTGGGAGAATGGTAAAAGACGGCAAAGCTGATTTTGTGGTACAAGAAATGAGCGAATCGACGGTGAATGGAATGGCCAAGCGTGTGGCGTGACGTACTTCGTACACCTAAATTGAAATATTAGAAATTTTAATCGAGTTTATCCGGCTTAACGAAGAGTCTTGTTCAGGTTCGGCGTATTCACACACTGGCCACCATCGTAGAGCCCATCAATGCGCAACATGCAGCGCCACACATTTGTCAAGTAGGCCTCTATTGAAGCACGACAAACTTTCGATCAAACGATCAATCACAGAAACGAGTTGAATCAATCACAGAAACAAGTTGCGGCAAACACTGGCGATTAGCTCGCCAAAATTAGAACGAAACAATTAATCATATTAGTCAGTAAGACACAAGGTATTAAATTCCAAGGTTGGACACTTTATGATAAAAAGTTATGTTTCTGTATTATATTACATTATATATTTTATTACATCAGAATGACTTCTGTATATGAATCGTCGAATGGCCCTTTCTTGAGGCTTGCTTCTCAGATGAGATGCAATTCTATAGCGCAGATACTCGCACATCAGCCTGTTTCTCCTGCAACAATCACATGAAATGGGCATCGGATGCACACAATTGTCAGATCTGTACGTACGTGAATAAAAGTATTGAATACCATCGAATCTATTCAATTCAAGATGATGAACTTAGGCTCTCTGTAAACAACAAAACGGAAGAACATGTCTCGGAAGCTTATAACAAATTGGCAGTATATATTTTCATAACCTTGTCGCGTCATTCATCCTGCAATATCTGCGAAAGACCGCCATATACAATATACAGCTGATAAATTTATTGATTCGATTCAAAGTGCATTCTAAATTGTGTGCACCACGATCGTCAAACTCTGTGAAATTGTCGTATACACTTCGCTTCAGAATCTACCACGGGGTTTTACAAGGATGTGGAGAGTTGTGCTGCATGCTGATCTAAAGCCTTGTACAGCCACGAATTGAGCTGTTGACTACTATAAATTTCATCCTTGGCAGTTGTAGTGTAAGGAGAAAGTAAAGTGCTTGAAACAACAGGTCTCGAGGAAGCGGCTCTCCTAAGCACTCCTATAACAGTAGCCCTAGTGACTCTTAAAATCCCAGCGATATCGCTGGAGGGTGCAGCCAAGGAGACACATCGCACTTTCTGACGTCCACATAGAGTTGGGATATGCTGAACCATGACTGAACGTATATCCTCACCTATCATCACTAGTTCCAAACTGTTTCTCACTAGATGCTTGGTGACATCGCGGACGCCTACTACAATCAGGTTCGGGGATAAGCCGGGCACACGTCCTGGCACACACACTACAGCAGTGCTCGACCGTCCTGGTGTCTGAGTGTGCTTCAGGTCCAATGCGTTATTGCATATGGGGACATGGGTAGTTTTTGTTATTGCTTTAAAGCCAGATAGTGAGTTGGCATCTGGTCTTGGAGTGCGCATGTGTTTGCGGAAACGTCTGCGTTTGCGTGAAGAATCAGCTACCTCAATAGGCATTTGGCTCGGAGGCTCTCGGATCTGACAAGAATTTAGCAGGTGTGATGTGTGGCAGTGTATCTGAACATTATCTTGGAAATGTGTGTGCCCAGGCACCACTCCATGGTGCTCTTTTGTAAGCGCATCTTCAGTAAACTGTGTAGTATACTGGGCTAGATCGCCCAAGATTTTCGTCGATTGCTGCCGAGATATTCGAGGCCTGAAAAAAGTAGGGGTTTCTTGTGAGTCGACTACGAGAATATAAGCCGTATAGTTACGATGGAAACACACATTTTTCTTCTCGAATACGGATCCAGAGGTTCATTTAGACGCTAAGATAAACACTTCCATATGCTACAACAAATCATCTTTTCAAAAACCTGTATTGAATTAAAATGGAAAAGGACACAAGAGACGTGTGTATGGTTTTCTATATCTCAATCTACTAAGAGATTCAAACGCGACAACTATTCAAAACGATGTCTAGGTGAGGGCAATATGTTATACCATGTATATGTTATCGCACAACGTACCGTCAACCGGGCGTGCACGAGGTATTGCACGAACATTCAAAAAATTATGTATACGTAGATCTTTACGAACAGAGATTTTACTTCCAGGAAGAAAATACTAAAAATTATAATTTGTTAATAGGACATTTCTTCCTAGGACAACGCATGATTGAGAATAAAGTGGTATATTTGCTTATACACCAGATAAAAAGAAATAGAAATATAAAAAAGAAATTGAAATATATATATAAATATATATATATAAACATACATACATACATAAATAGACACATACATACACACACACACGCACACATTTATTTATTTATAGAAGTATATAAATATACATATATTCATACATACACCACACACACACACATGTATATATAACTATACATACATACATATATATTTATATATATATATAAATATATATACATAAATAAAACAGATATATAAATACACACATTTATATATATAAGTATATACATATATATATATATATATATAAATAAATAATTATATATATATCTAGATATATTTATACAAACATTTGAATATATGTATATATATAGATATATATATATATATACATATGCGCACAAACTAACAAAACACACATTAACACACACACACACACATATATATATATGTATTCATAAATAAGTATATATATATATATATACGCCCAAACACACACGCACATACCATCACTCATATACGTAGATGCATACATACTTAAATACATAAAAATATAAATTTGTATAT